AAAATATTCCATATTTTTTGCTGCTTTTGTTTCAGAATCTGTTCAAGATCCTCAATTTTTGTTTCTGTTCATGGTAGTAATATGAAGTTTTGTTTCTGTTGATTTTTCTCCCCTTTTTGCCCATTGCCCTAATTTTTTGATAATTGGATGAGTTCGATAAAATTTGTTTTAAAAAAAGATGAATTTTTTTCTGTATGATGCCACTTACAAGTCTTATTTGCAGAGATATGTTGGCTTTGGGATTTATGGATCAGTTTGGGTTAGGAATAATCTTCTGCAGGGTTCATGTTTTTCGACATTGGAAATTACGCGTTTACCTTATGGAGATAGATTAATGGGTGTTTGATTAATAAGTTTTTCAGTCTAGCTAGTTGTTGTGGTTTTTGTCTTTTAAATGATCATGGTTCTTTCTAGAGCAAATATTGATTGGTATGGTTCAACTCTTCGTTTAAGTGATTCGTTTAATCTGAATGGTTGAGTTGATCATTGATTCTTTGGGGGTTTTAGATAGTTTTGGTAGTTATAATTTCAATGTCTAATTAGTTTCTCATTCTTTGGTTAATTGTTACGCCATCCTCGTTTGCTGTTTGCGCTAACGTCTTGATTTGGCAATTTTCTATTAGTGCAATGTTATTATTGGCCACTCATACGAATGAATAAGTGAGAATGCAATGGCTTCACCTTAGACTACACCTTTATTTGAGATTCCCGTTTTAAGATTCTTGAGACTCGATATATGTTGAAGATTCTATTGATTTGATAATTTTACCAAATGAAGGTTTTAGCTTCTTGCAATTTGGGGTTTCTTAACCAAATGTGCATCTTTGTCTCTCTCTCTTCTCTTTTTTTTTTTTCCATTTATTTATCGAGATTTTATTTTTTCCCCCCTTTTTTGGTTTCAGTCTTTCCACTCCAGACATGGGAAGGCTTATCTCTTCAGCAAGGTGTAAGTTTTTCTTTATTTATTTATTTAATTTTTTTTTTTGTTTTATTTTTCCTGCCAGCTGGTGTTAAGTGGAGACAATGAAAATTAGTAAGCACTTTCCCGAAGGCATGCAGTGACATCTATTTTGGTGTTGTAAATCAGTTGGCGAGGATTTTAAGTCTGTCAGATTAATTTTCTAAGTTACACCGAAATTCTTGTAATGGAGATACTTGCTTATCCATTTATGTCTTTTTAATGTCTTTGTATCAATGCATGCTGAAAAAGGTATTGCGTGAGGTATTTTTAGCTTGCAAAGAGTATGTATGTAAGAAAAAAAACAAAGCCCGGGTTTATTTATTGTAATTTTGAAAATTAACTAAGAGAATTAGATGAAAGCAATGGGAAGAGATAATTTACTATTTTTATATTTATATGATGATCTGAAAATTGCAGCCTTTGGGTTTATATTCCTCTTTCAGAGTAAATGTAACTTACGGGGAGAAAGAGGAGAGGTTGATGATGACTGGATCACACATAGTGGTGGATATATTCTGTGTCCGGTGTGGTTCAATTGTCGGGTGGAAATATGTAAGCTCCACATAGAAGAATAAAAATAAAAAGTTATACAACAAAGTTACATGTTCGTGAATTGTGCAAGTACGGTTGTGATGATTTTGCATATTCATCTCCAGGAAGTTGCTCATGAAAAGAGTCAAAAGTACAAGGAAGGGAAATCGGTTCTCGAGAGGTCTGTGGGGTTCTTTAAAAAGTTGCATAATCAAAAGGATTAATAATTACAAAGCAACAGTTCTTGTTTAGCATAACACCAAGAAAGAAAATAAAATATAGAGAAGAAAAACTAATCTATGTTTCAAAATTGAGTGATATGATTTGCTGGTTTTGGGTTTAAATTATTTTTATCTCGAACAGGTTTAAGATCTCTGGGCCAAATGGAAGCAGCTATTGGGCGAGCCATGAAGAAAATATTGGTGGAAACGATGACAGTGATGATATTGGATTTTAACCTTTAAATTCAAGAAAAAAGAAAAAGAGAAACAAGAAAAGGAAAAAAAAAAATGGAAAAAGAAAAGCTGTCATCTCCAATTGTACGTTCTTCACTTCTTCTTTCTAATGCTTCCCTTCAACTGCAGCTCATGTTATAATATCATGTTTCAGTTTCACTTCATTGTACATATGTCAAAACTTGATTGCGGCTCCTTATCTGCTCGTTGAAACACTGATTCTAGTTTGTTCTTCAAAGATTGAACACATTCATGCTTTTCCGATCTTTGTCTTTTGATTCGTTTTGTTTGAAGGTGGCTTCGTGTTTTACGTATATCACATGTCTAGCATGCGGTTTATTTGCTGCTAACATTTTTGTGATTGTGCATTGATGAGTTGATGCAGTGTAACTCACAGCTATTACCCGTCTGCATGGACTTCGGGTAAATTGATACCTTCATTTTTATAAAAAATTGAGATAGTACTCCCAAATCAATTGGGGGAAATATTTGGTTTTTGGTTTGACATTTGAATGAATATCTTTGTTTCTAATAAGCTTTATCATGGTGTCTGGTAAAGATTATCAATTAGCTCATGATAGCTAGATATGTTCAAAAAGAACAATTCCAATCTGTCAAACGGTTTTGCTATAGAGCCATCGGATGGCTCGGCTTATGGAGTCATCCATAGTTATTCACAAATGGTGTACTGACATGTGTTCTGCAATAAATACATATTAGACATGTGTCAATTCATAAAGTTATGGATGACTCCATAGATTTTTTGTCAAATATAAATTATCAATTGCTATTTAAATATGAGTATCACATTTCACAGCATGAACATGCATTTTTGGTACAAAAAAATTGTTACTATCTAATTGTTTGTTAGTGAACAATAACATTTGTGATTATCAATTATCAACAACTCTCATTTATTTCAACTAAGCACACCAATTGAGCCCTTAGGAAGATCTCGTGATCTCATTTACCAAGATTTGTCGTCTAACACAAATTCTAGTGTGAGATAGTTCAACAATTAGTGGTGTTACGAGTCGTGTTAGAGCTCGTGTAGCCTCAACGAGCCAATAATCAAGTTCAATTTCAGTTTGTTTATAAATATTAACAAGCCGAGCTCGAGCTGAGTTGAACCTCTCGCTTCGTTTAACAACTCGACCAATGATTAGGCGGGTCGATCGATCATACTTTCTGAACAAAAATCTATACTTATATTGAGAAATAGGTCATTTGGTTAAAAATTATACTCTTCACATACAATAGAAATACCATAATAGATTGGATCTTGTGGGCCTTGTGAACTCCTGAACTGACACAATTCATGATATGTTGCCCTTTTTTAAGCCAAAACAAATATTATTAAATTGATTGAAGTAAAATAAAATTAAAATAACCTTTTATCAAATACAAATAAAAAAAAAATATATATATATATATCCAACAATAATTTGGCGGCAATCTTGGATTTGAAGCAAGAGGTAGTTGTTGGTCCAACTCAACTGGGGTATTTATAATATAGAAAGAATAGTATTTTATAAGTCAACTAATTAATTTCATGCCATATCAACTACCATAGATAATTTATGAGCAATCAATCATTTACAAAACATTTTTTTTTTCTCTTTATTTCTTTATTTATTTATTTATTTATTATTTCACATACACCATGATGCATCCACGAGTTAGGTGCATATGTGGTAAAGTATACTCCACCCCTTTAATCTAAATGCATATAGAAAAAAAAAAATAAAAAAAAAATTACGAAAATTATCAATTCATATATATCGTAGTTTTTGTTAAATATTTTGAATTTTATATTTGGATATCTAGTTTTCTGATGATCACATTTCCTTACCATGTTTTTTTTTTAATAAATATTTTATCCTATTTTTGTTGCATAGTGTTTTAGTGAACTTGTGATTTTTTTTATTTTTTTTTTTACCAAAATGTCTATCATTGTTTGAATAAATATTAACTGTATTAAGATGATAATTTAATTTTCATAATATACACTTGTTTTACAAATAATATAGAAGTCCTTTTTTTATTATTTTTTAAGTCCAAACAAATGAAGAAATATTCATTGTTCTAACAAAGAGAATATTTCTAGTTAAGTTTTAATGATTAATTGTAAAAGAAAAGAGATAAAAGAAATAAGAATTTAAATTGAGCCAGCTTGAATTATTATAACTATTATTAGTGTTGATCCATTTATTTTTATCACCTTGTGTTCAAGACTCTGTACAAAAGCCACTTGAATTTAGTATATTTTTACTAAATATACTAATTATTATAAATCAAATAATATCAATCAAATAATGATCTGAACTTTGGATTCTCAATGATAAAATTCAATATAATTTTAATTATTCCTCTTGTTTTTTTTTTTAAAAAGAATGTTGCATAATTAAAAATTACTGTATGATTTTATAGTTATTATCAAGCTTTATTTAAATAATAAATCTAGGTAATATATTATATACTTATTTCATAATAGTGATATAATCTCTTTTATCAAATCTCCACCAATTATAAGATATATTTTTTCTTAGTACTTATTCATCTTTTTTTTTCTTATTTAACAATGAAAAAAAAAACATTTAATAGATATAAATAGTTATTGAAATTTCTACAATTTTTTTTTTTTTAATTACAATATTTTCATTGGGCTTGTGCTTGACTCGAAAGTGGATTGCACTTATTCCTTGTGCACGTGTTTCGGGAAGTGAATTTCGCTACTGATCATCTGGCTTCTTTAGCGTCGTCTCAACAACTCGGAGTGCACCATTTGCCCTTCCCACCTCCGTCTTTAGGCTGGTGGCTTGAGCATGATATCATTGAGGTGTGGCTTATCCCCGTCGTGTTTTGTCCTCGTAGTTGTTAGATTGCGGCCTCCCTTTACTGTACCGAAATAAATAAATAAAAAAAAAAAAACTTTTAAACTTTATATTTCCTCATTCGGACCCTATTCTCTCTCGAAATTGCAATATTTGCCCCTCCCTTTCTCCATTTACTTCATATATTCTCTCTCTTCCTCTCTCTCTCCCTCTCACTAACCTACCGTTGGGCTGTATGAATCTCGGAGAGGACGAAGAATTTAGTGGGTAATAATTTATTCCTAACCGTGGAATGTTTTTGGATATTCCGGTGATCTGAGATCTGTTTTCCGACCTAGATTGTGGACGTCGAGAGATCCCTACTGTAAGTACGCATTATAGCGCCATTTTTTATCCCCCATTTTTCGAATTAGGCAGCTCTTGAGCAAAGATTATTCGCGAGCTTTCGTTCTTTTTTTCTTTTTTTTTTTCTTTGATTTTTTGTGTTCCCCTCTTGTTTCTATCTGGGTTTTTATCAATAACATGTTTAGTGTAAAAAATGCGGATTTTTTTTTTTTTTTAGTTATTTATGTGAGGAATTGGAATGCCCGACTGATTTTCAGCTTCCCATTGTTGAATTACGCAGCTCGATTTTCGATCTGGGGATGCTTTTGCGTCCGTGAAGGGTTAAAAGGCGTGATTTTGGCGGTTCAGGCGAAGCTAGGGTTTCTGGAGCTTGGAAATAATGAATCGTGTGTGGTAAATTGGGTGTTACTCTCACGAATTGGTGGTTATTTCTTTTACAGTTTTGGGATGAATCGAAGTTTTCGGGCATTTGAGAAGGGGCAAATGGGGAGCCTGAGATTTAAGGATAACAGGGACGAGGATTTGGCATTATTTCGTGAAATGCGAAAGCGTGAGAAGGAAAGAAATGATCTTCTTCTTCAGAATGCGGATGAGTTTGAGGCTCCACTTGGTATGGTGAAAGAAAAATTTGAGTTTTCGTTTGGGAATTAGCATTTGAGTAGATATTTGTTGTGTTGGATTAGATTGAGATGTTTTTTTTTTTGTTAGTATGCCCATCTTTGTGTCGATTTGATGCTTGTTTTGTTGTTCCACATTTTCATCTTTGTTTTTTCTTTTTCTACCTGCAGGACATGGCACTTCTCCAATATTTAATATACCTTCGGCTACGTCTGCGCCTGTCCGAAAGACTGGTCCTGATGATTTTCTCAATTCTGAAAATGATAAAAATGACTATGACTGGTAATTTGCAGCTTGCTTTCTGGCATTTTCTATACACGAACTTCTTTTTACTGACCATGAGTGGTTTTGACTTATTGAGTCTTATGAAGGTGATATTTGCATGCGACAAGTTAACCGAAGACAAATAGAAAGGAAAACTCGGAGATGCTTTTTTCTAGTTCGCATACTTGGCTTTTTTTTCCCCCTTAAATTTACCTAAACTGAAAGCATAAAACTACACTAGGAGCTATTTGGATCAAAGAAAAAAAAAACAGTGAATTGGTGTAAGGTCATCTTTGATGGAAATCGCTTCTGTTTCATTACCTATATGAATGTTAGCACAAACTCTTACTTTTGTGGAAACTTTGGTAAGAAATTCTGACTATAAAAGTCATTCAAGTTGACTACTTTTTCTTCTTTCAGGATAATGGCATATTTAACTCCTCCAACAGGTTTTCTCTGGATAAGTTTTATATACTAGAAAAACTGAAGAATGTGGTTTGAGAGTTGGATCATCTTATTCTAACTTTCTTCCAGTTTTTGCAGTGTCAATAAAGTTACTAGCATAACGAAAGTGAACAAAATTTGAGGTTATCAATCTCACGATACTGTACAAAAAAGGCAATAGCTTTCCCAACGTGCACTTTAGTTTAAAGTTGAAGTCAAATTTTGGTCATCTTAAATGTATGTGCATCATTGTAAGGCATGTTAACATGAATTCAGCTTTGCTTTCCTTCGGTTTATCAAATTTAGCTCCCAGATCTCCAGATGGTCTCTATTTGATTTTAGACTAACATCTTTTTTTTTTTTTCAGGCTTTTGACACCTCCCGGTACTCCCCTGTTCCCCTCACTGGAGATGGAACAACACAAAACTGTTGCGAGCCAGCTCGGAACTCCAAAAGCTCGACCTACAGCTCTGAAGTCTAGAGTAAGTAGAAGTGGATTGACTAGCTATCTACTATAACTTCTAAATCCTCATAAACCTGGTTCGCCTGGCTAAACCAAAAGCTATAGATAAATTTGTAGGGGGCTTCAATGAACAAATATTACTCGCCAAACTCGTTGAGGCATGCCATGTAATTTGCTCAATAACTAGGCGATTAAATTTTAACTTTATTCCTTCTTGCAATTTTCTCTCCCTTTCATTAGTTAGCCAATTCCCAGCCGGAGCCCACCTCCAGAAGCAATCTATCTCGCCGGCCGTCTTCCTCCGGCGGGCCCGGGTCAAGACCTTCGACTCCAACGGGACGTCCAACTTTGACCTCAACATCCCGGCCCACATCCAACAAGCCCGTGGTGGCTTCATCCAAGCCCACGGCCACCTCAGCCATCTCATCCCGATCAGCACCAGTCGCCACATCATCATCAAAACCCTCGAGATCCTCAACCCCCACCACCTCTCGTCCCACAATCTCCTCGTCAAGACCTGCCGCGAGATCCTCGACCCCCACCTCGAGACTACCCACTGCCGCCCGTTCCTCGACCCCGACTAGATCAACGGGCCCCACCACCACCGCCCCTACGGCAAGATCCACTTCCCGGGCCTCGACCCCGACCCGCCGGCCCGCAAACGGTACTCCCGCCCCAACCCAGCCCAAATCCCCGACCGTCCGGCCCAAGATGTGGAAGCCCTCGGAAATGCCCGGTTTCTCGCTCGACGCCCCTCCCAACCTGAGGACTTCGATAGCCGACCGGCCGCCATCTGCGGCCCGAGGCCGACCTGGGCCCGGCCCGGGCCAACGATCTTCGTCAGTCGAGCGGGTCAGGCGGCAGTCGTGCTCTCCGGCGAGGGGACGCCCGGCGAATACCATCTCTTCCCGGAGCAGCGGGAGCTCGGTGCCAGTGCCAGGCTTGAGCCGGCTGCATGCCAAGGCGAACGATAATGTCAGCCCTGTGCTCGTCGGGACTAAGATGGTGGAGAGAGTTATAAATATGAGAAAACTCGCCCCACCAAAACAGGATGTTATTAAGAATTCGAATTCACCACATGGTAATTTATCGGGAAAATCTTCGTCATCTCCCGACAGCTCAGGGTTTGGGAGAACGCTTTCGAAGAAATCTTTGGATATGGCGATTAGACACATGGTAATGTTATGGTAAATTCAAAATTTTATTTTATTTTATTTTTTATTTTTTATTTATTTTTTTTTTGTGTTGAAAATTATCAAATATATGATCTTAAAAGCGAACAACCGTTGTGCAGGATATAAGGCGAACGATTCCAGGTAATCTAAGGCCTCTGATGACGAATATTCCTGCATCGTCTATGTATAGCGTTCGAGCAGGGCCCACGAGGAGAACTGTCAGTGTATCGGATTCTCCACTTGCGACGAGTAGCAACGCGAGCTCTGAAGTGAGTGTCAATAACGGGCATGAGGTGGACGATGATGTCAGCAGCAATAAGGGGATTCGGTCAGCGGCCAGCTTACGTGGGAGGTGAATGGTGGGTTTTTTCTTGATGCCATCTCGTGCGAATTTTTGGTTTTTAACCGCGCTGAGAATTATGACTATCCCCTGCGAGGGGGGAAAAAAAGAAAAAAGAAAAAAGGAAAATATATATAAAAACGAAATGGTTGAGGAAATATTGTTTGTGCTACATAATATTGATGTAAATTTCAATGCATGTTTAGATGTATCACCCGGCATTGTGAAATTCCGACCGGTACTTGGCTAATTTCTGTGCAAATTCATGAATCGAAATTGACTGAGGTTGTGCTGTTCAGATTTTTTTTTAGTGATTTTTTTATTCATGTTCGTAACCGATGATTTTTGCTTGGTTCGTAAATAAGTTTTACTGACGCTTCGTGTTATTATGTTATCCCAAGGTAGAGTAGTTCATCAAGTATTGAAACCGAGTCTGTGATCGCTCCAGTTGAAACTTTCGAAAACCATTGATCTTGATAAAGTCGTGTGCTTTTGTTCGTGGTAGCCTTAGTTTGTGATGAAACAAAGTTATCATCCAGTTCAAAGCTTACAAATTCTGTTATAAGGTGGTTTAATAATGAAAGTGGACAAAGGATACTGTTTTGTGAGATCAAATCCAAAGGGCAATCTCATGGCAAAAGCAATTATGTGAAACTCAAAACCTGCACTAAGAAGTGGTCCTTTTAAAGGGTGGGTCACTTGCTACAGCTCACATGCATTACATATCTTCAACTTATAAAATAACAGTCATTTTGCGCATTCACAATTATCCTTACTACCAATAACAGTTTATGAAAATCTGGGAACCCAAGAAACGGACCAAAAACTGTTTATGAAAATCAAGGATCCCAGAAATAGTTCCAGAAACAATTTCTGGAGTCTAGAAACTTCAGATTTCCAAAAACCGGTTTTTTGGCAGTAAGGGTAATTGTGCTATTTCACACGACAAAATAGCTATTATTTTCATACTTCCACAAAAAGTGGTCATATTTTTATCTTTGCATTTGCTACTTCACTATAACAAGGGACTGACTAGTGGTAATATCTAACAAATACCCTTCCGCTTGAATCTGCGTTCTGTAACATAAAGTCGAACAGATGTCACCGAAACCCACAAAATAGTGAAAACAATATAACAGGTTCTTGAATCACTTCATAGATACTACTATTCATGCAACAAATTTCCAAAGCCAATCCAGAATTTTCACATCCACCAAACACTAAATCGCTCAATCTCTTGTCCGAAAGTCTTAAAGATATCAATTGCTTATACATCCAAAAGCCACACGAAACCTACCACAATCACGCAACAGCCACAGGTGGAGTAGCTGCCGCATTTGGGACAGCATTATTAGCATCAGTTGCTGACGGTGGAGAGGATTTCAGGTGGGGTGGGGTGTTTTGTTTGAGCTTAACAAGAATCTGGCGCATTCTGGCTAAGTCAGTCGGTTTTCCAGGTTTAGGCCCTTGGACCACGGCTATTGAGGGTTTCTTCTCGTGATCTTTCTTGCTCTTTCTTTTCTCAATTGTTGCAACTTCTCTTGGAATTAGGTCAGCTATCGATTTCCAGTAATCATTGTCGACTTCAGCATGGAATTTCTCTTGGCCAGCAACAAATACCTGATTATAATGAAAAAAAAGGGGGAAAAGAGATTTTGATATTCAATGCAATAAAGAGAACATTTTTCCAGAACTTGAAATTCCTATCTAAAACTAATTTGGTTGACGTTAGATAAGTTTTAACAATCCATATAGATGAATGATGATTTACTAGGGATATGGCCAATATTCTCACTCACTTTCTCATTTTCCCGGTTTGTAGCTTTGTTGGTTTCACAAGTGAGTTGCCTCTTTCGGTGGAACTCCACTTTGTACTCCTCCGCATCAGTAATAATTTTACTCAATAATTCCTTCTCCCTTTTCTCCTTCTCCTCCAATCGAATCGCGTTTTGTCTGTTAGAAACAAACAAATCAAGAAAAGAAACTCTGCATGTGAGTGCCAATAAAACATACACCGTTGTCATTTATCTGCAGACAGCCAAAAACCATAACTATGGATTTATTTGACCTGAAAGCTAGTGCAGTAAACTCATCTCTTAAATCCTCCTACCAAATCCGCTCTGTTAAAAACCATAATAAGGTACATCCAGTGACATTTATAAATATCAATGAATAGTACTCTTAGGTACAAAAACCTGCTATGTAGTATCTAAGATATCGACATAACTTTTGCAAACAAAATTATATAGCGTTGTCAACCCCAAACCACAAACATGCAAGGTTACACATCCACAAACACAGCCTTATTTTAAGTAGCATCAGCTTCGTAATGAGCCCAATTTTTGTCAAATTATTTTCCAGTCTAAATGGCACTGAACATGGATTGATGTTAGAGAACGTAAAGCTGAGAGTTCTTCGGTCCGATTTTCTCGAAGTTGAACCCTCTACGGACAATCTGACAAGCATGTGTTGGGTTCTAGCCTACACATAATAGTCCACAAGACATGTTATTTTTGTATTTAATTTTCACCCCTACCACAATGAGGCCATCAAATATACAACAGATCACGAAAGCAATTTGATCTAAAACCATTCCTCAATGGCCACCATGGACAAGCTCAACCAGTAACTGAAAAATGCTAAAGGGACTTAAAAAGGTGCTCACTTCTCAGTCATTGGAAACCCCAACACAGGAGCTAAATCTCACTAGTCGATCAATTTTCAATTTCCCCAATTTCAAACAGAAGCACCAATTCAAAGCCAATTTACACGAATAAAAGCTTAGAGCCTACGAATACACACAGAAAGTTATAGAACAACCAGAGGCGAATGATAAATCGGGAACGTGAAAACAGCAATTACGATCAAACCTTCTCCATTCCCTGAGCGCATAACCCTCATCGGGTTGCATTTCTGTCGGAGGAGGCAGGATTGGGCCATTGTCATTTGTCTCCGACGAGAAATATGCGGGATCCGAGCCGAATTCTCCTCCGGACGCGTAGATCGGCGGCGGAGAGTAGGCCGGAGCCGAATCGAAGTTGGAAACCGAGTCGGGGTCGAGATACCCGTCGCCGAATAAGTGAGTCTCGCCGACCGCCGGCGAATCGCCGCCGTACTGGTCGAACGAGTCCGCGAATGAAGACGACATCGTACGGTACTACGGTGTTTGGTTCTGCTGCCGATCGCTAATTTGTGACGCCGTAAAACAATGGTATTATACTATTATCAGTTCTTTTACGAGTAGATAAAATAAAGGAAAATGGTTAGAGAATTTTATATTTTTATTTCGAATTTGAGGCTAAGAGAATTTTAAATATTTATTATTTTTTAGGTTAAATATCTAATTGTATCTAATTTTTTATAGTCTTTTTAATTCTAAATTTATGTACCTTTAAACATGATGGGTTCTATATATTTACCACAACATGTCACTCTAGAGCAAACCCAAAAATAATGGTATATTCAGCCCAACATAACAAGTCGATCACACGATCGCCTTTGTCAATGATTGTCGATCATAGAGATCGTCGATCGTCTTGCAGAGTCTGAATACGCTATAAAATACATAACTAGTAAAGCCGCTAAGTATATTGAGAGGTCT